ACGAAGATGATTCGATCAAACCACGCAGCTGCAAATAATTTGGATCGTCTATGTGCACCAATATTTTTCTACGCGATTTCTGGTACGTAAACTTCGAGGAATAACCAAACTACTAGGGCAGCGTTAGGATGTAGGACCCCAATGTTTAATTCGATGATTGGTTTCTTTCGTGCCAGTTTTGATTCCAAGTGACTGGTGTTAAATACACGCAATATTTAAAAGAGTAAATGGACGGGATTTTGGCCTACTTACCCACCATTCATACTGTGCTATGTTGCTGATAGCATAAAGCACAATTTAACCTCTTCGCGTATTTTCCAAAGCTTAAGTGAAAATTTGGTTTTTCTCGCAGCTACCGTCAGTTATTCTTTTGCAAAACATGCTGAGACAGCGTCTGTTGTCAATTTAAAACTAAAAGCCTAACATAGAAAAAGTATAAAAATCCTCTTGGGTGACCAAAGCAGAGTCCTTAGCGCAGTAAAAGCACAGGTTTCTTAGTTATGTGTTTAGATTTTCCTAGTTGCAAAAACAATTCAGTGGAAAGCAAGTATTTCCTGTCAAAATTAAGTGTTCACGAGAACTGTTGTCGTGCTCACAAATCCGAATGACCAGTTCAGACCCGTACTCCAGAATAGTTAGTTAGGCAGCAGTAAAATGTGTCATCATCTTCATCGACCTAATTGAATAGTGTTCAGTTCTTCAATAAAATAACTTTCTTCTCTCTTCGATGCCGGTCATAGTCGGGCGCTCCTAATGAGAACGGCAAAGAATCTGAATCCGCAAACATTTCGACGCAGAATAAATAAGCGTTTTTGGATTACATGTGGTGGGTAACAGTCACAAGGCCAAATCTAGCACCCTTTTGACGCTTTGAACTCCCACTCAAGTGTGTTCTCAATTTTAGAAAAATCCACATCGTGAATATTTGACTTACTACCTATTTGTTCTCCCAGTAATTTCTTTGTGCATAAAAGTCAATATGTTTCTTAAAAGTAACCTCATCTGAATGACGTGAAAGATTGTCTGCTGATGTCTGCCCAAATGTATTCATTTAACTGGTTAACAATTGAACCGATTTTTTTGTACACTGACCCTATATTTATGTTTTTTCTCTTCCACATTTTTTCAATTTAAGTTTATATGTACGAATTAAAATCAACATCAACAAGCAAATATTCCATATTCGGTGTGTGGTCGGAAACAAAAGTGTCTAAACACTGAAAGATGTAGTATATTGGCAATATGATTAGTTGCTCTAAACGCGAACAGATTTGTTTTGCCGATTCTGTACCGGTGAACGAGGCGTCTCTGAGGTTTCTTCTTCATTAGGGCGTCATTCGGCGTCCCCTGCTTGCTTTCCGTTATATTAAGTATAGTATACGTCCTATCAGCGTCCACAATCTATTAACCGATGGCAATGACGTATTTAAGGCAGTTGAAGTGGCAATGGACAGGATCACGGATTTCGAACTTTAAAATTGTCTATCAGCGCAGAAATATCAGTAATCGTCGGCTAACCTACACCAACTCAGGGGTTGCAGGGAACAAACTGCAAGTGCCAGCCAAATGTTCCTTACTACTCTGAATGAATTTGCCCTGAAAGGCGCATGTTTTGAATAAATACGGTTACTTCAACTGGGACATCGATTCACCCCAACGACGAAAAATTGTTTAAGCGAGTAGTTATCAGTTACACAAGGACAAATTCAGTAGGCATAAAACACCCAATTCCCCCCCACTAACATTAACTGCAAATGCATTGGTGCTGAGTTGGCTCAGGCAACTGAGTTGTTTTTTGACGTTATAATGTGCCATCTTCGGGTATGTCGACACACTAGACCACGCGCGCGCTGTTTACGTCAGTTGCTAACTCAATGCACTCTAGTCTGATCAGAAAATTTCCGCCAGTCTGTGAATGATGTCAAAGAGAAAAAACTTGATTAGCTTTAGCACTTTCAGATAACCTCTCTTTTCAGTGCCTAGAAGAAAATTCTTCAAATATCAGAAAACAGCTCTTAAAAGTGCTGCTCGCTTTAAAATACCGTCAAGTCTGCTAGACTCGTCGCTGTTGAGAACGATCTTAGGACGTATTTAAAGCGAACTGACAGAGTAGAATTTAAAGCCCAGCAATACGTGGTTAGAACGAGCGAAAGTCAGGACACTGTCGTCATTTGTTGGAATCGCAAATGCAACGCGGCATTAGACTGCGCACATTAAAACTTGTTAAGGGTACTCCTGTAGATCGGATATCTCGTAGTTCGAAGGTCGCCTCCTTAAACCACTTGTAGTCGGATTGACTACTCAAAAATTTTTTTTAATGGTAATTCAGGACGATCGGAATTTTGTGTTTGCACATTGGCTTAAAAAAATATTAACAAGCCGTTTGCGCGTGCCACACAAAACCCTGTCTCTTAGTCTACGCGTGCTAGGGTTCACCGGCGAGAAATACCGCAACTTATACGTTGTTTAATTCGTGATAAAATGCTAGGTAATATGTAAATTCTGTAGTCTGACTCTGAGCACGGAAAAGTCTTGACCTGCCTTCCAGTTTGCAAATCACCCCAGTCAGTAGCATTGGCGCTTACTGATATTTTCAGAGAATTCTTTTGCGTATGTTTGGGAGGTAAGCATTGAGTAGATTTAAATCTTCAAGAAATAGCTTTGGACTGAGGAGCTGGCATGACGAGACGGCTCTATACGACTCGTATCATATGAGCCCCAGGTATCAAACAGATCGTAGTGCCATGTGTGATCTAATTGTTTGATAACAGTTAGAACAGACGGACGCAGGGTTCATATTTATGGTATCGGTAAAGGTTGTGGGTGTCTAAGTGGACTTTGAGTTCATTTCCAAGAAAGCATAAGTAAAACGCAAGTCCCCGTGTCTTGTATCACATACACGTAACTCTGCAGAAGTCTACACGGACAGGTCTCATGGCAAGTAATACGTCATCGGTGCGGAGTCTTTTTACTGAAAAATTTAATGGGAAATTCACTATGTTAAATTATTTGCCCAATTTTAAATGAAAAAGGTGGCTCAACGCGCAGCCAACATCGTTTACTATGTTGCAAAAACTGTCTCAACAATGCCTTTTCCAATTCGAAATCAAGAGCTTAAAGCCATCAAAGTTTTGAAAAATATTTCCGACGACCAAAGCGGAGATTGTGGCACAGCTAAACCGTTGTTTTCTTGAAAACGCGTCCGTATTTGCGGGTTCCAGAAAAACTTTTTAGGTTGAGGCATGTAGTTTATATTAACTATTAACTATTCATTAGAACCGTTGACAAGATTACGAATTTGAATGACTGGTTGAGGCACGTACACCATATTAGTTGGTAAGCAGGCTAAGAGTACCCTCGCCTAATACAGTGACCTACTTCTATAGCGTGCACACCGTCAAAGAATTTTGGTTCTCATCTTTTTGATGCCAGTCATTGATAGGTGTGGATGCAGACGACGGCTACGAATTGAACCTCCTAAAGATGCCCTGTGGCAGACACGGAAACGTCTCTAGGTCTAATTTCGCAGTTTTATAATTAAGGTGGCAGGCACAGCTGCAGGTTCACGGCGCACATGCTGGGACCCTTTGCACTCACATGTTTGCTAAGCTGAGTTGAATATCTTGCAGCTCTTCAATAATGGTTCTGCTGAGTGGGTTGTTTTTGCGGAAGCCCTGCGTGAGAGAATTCAGAGGTTTAAACAACCACTTACCCGTTCCAAAATTTTGGGGTGCCTCTTAGAATGACGATCGGCCGTAAGGAGGTTCCTTGTTTGTGGACGCTGGATGGACCACAGGATCTGACGAATGTTGAATCCTGTGTTTCATCTTTGAAAAGGCAGGTTGACTTATTGCTTTTTACTTCTGGAGACTTGTCAACTCCTTGTCCATGTTTCGTGGTGTCATTTTCACGAGGAATGTAGGCCATGGCTTAAGGGTGCCTCGATTTTCTTGACGTGGCCCTCCTTGTTCAGTAAAAACGTTGATCTTTTGTCGGCTGGGAGCATGGCAAAGCTTTCGAAGGCCCTCATTGTCCGGAGTGCTTTGCTTTCTAAGTCTGAGAGTGTCTTGCGTTTCATGTATGAGGTCAGCATGGGCACTATTATCTATCGCGGTTGATTTCTGTGTCACTCACAATTGAGACGCATTAAAAACAAGGAGTTGCACGTCCGTGTAATACAAGTAGGCATCACGGATAAAGACTATTAACCGTTCTGCTACTACCTGGTTGGAGAACAGGCCAAAATGTTAAAATGCATTTTCAAACCAGAAACATTGTTCAAGCTGTGTTGTAAAATTACATATCGAACAGCATGATCCAAAGATGAAGCAGTCAAATCAAACCGTCGGATGGTACATGAGTTTTTTTTTCGGCCGACTGGTAAAACTATGCTCTATAGAGAATGGCTTTTTCATCAGTATAAATTTTCCCCATTGATTTATGATCGGAAATATCTCTTGCGTATTAATTAACCATACTTTGCTGACCACAATATTTCAGATGGCCGAATGAAATCTCTTTTTGAAGCTGGCATTCTGGTATGATTGAAATATTATATGATGACGATTCACGATCACCAATATATTTTATTATTATTTTTACTAATATTATTAAAATAAAAAAACCAGACTTCATTTTCTTACACCAGGGATATGTTCCTACTAGTAAAAGGACGTCAGGACTGACGGCTAATAAAATCGGCGCACAAACCGATGATCATAATACGCATTCGGCATGTATCGCCGAAGTGGAGTATCGAACGTAAAGGTAAGAAATTAACCACTTACAAGCTCCCAATTAATACCTGCCATGTTGTCTGTTGCGTTGAAATTGCGGAAATTCTCCAGTAGATGCATTCAGGAACTTTCATTGACAGTAAATGGGCGAGTATACCTGCCCATGCACACCTTCGATACCGGGAACATTTTCGCTTACTCAAACATCGTCTTGTCAGCTCTAGTGCCCACACTTAAGGCAAAGAGTGCTATGAGACTTTGTACCTAGTTAGGCAGTCGTACAATATCGTCATCGTCGTCTGATGATTTCTTGTAAAATTTCCTCCCTTTGTGCAATTTAATGTGTTCTACATCATCATCATCATCGTCGTCGTCGTCATCATCATCATCGTCGTCGTCATCATCATCGTCGTCGTCATCATCATCATCACCACCATCACTATTATCATCATCACCACCACCACCACCACCACCACCACCACCACCACCATTATCATCATCCTCATCATCATTATCCTCCTCATCATCACCATCATCATCATCATCATCTTCATCATCATCATCATCCTCCTCCTCCTCATCATCACCATCATAATCATCATCATCATCAACTGCACTAGCTGTAACAGGTGGGTGAATAGCATTGCAGCCGGAATCGGTCCCTGTCATGGCCCTCATCCACGGAAAACTGCTCGCAGCCTAAATAAGAGATCGATTTGCTCTAAGTTTTCAATTTGGCCTATGTCAGATGTCTTACTGTTGTGTTCCTATACGTTTATGCCAATTTCTTAGGAGTGAGGCCTCCTTTTAGCACCACACAGTGCTGATAAGTCTAGTGTAAGGCACTTAGTTACGTTCTGTCAAAGTTCACGACTC